TTCAACTCCTGGTGGGGTCCATAACCTGAGATTCCACTCACGTCATGGGGACTGGTTTTACGTGGTGGGGCCCGAACACCGGACCCCACTGGTCCAAGCTTAATAATCAATGGGTAATGCTTTTCTAACGGTCCTTATGCAGTCTCTGTAAAAATATGGAAAGGACCCCTGGAGGTTTACTTTCCTGAAAAAAGTGTGTTATGTGTCGGAACCCTGGTGGTGGGTTGCGGGATATCAAGGAGGGGCACACTGGGGCAATTTCAGTCCAGCAGGCTGGAGCCAATCATGGAGCAGCACAACAGAGGCTGGAGCCAATCATGGAGCAGCACAACAGAGGCTGGAGCCAATCATGGAGCAGCACAACAGAGGCTGGAGCCAATCATGGAGCAGCACAACAGAGGCTGGAGCCAATCATGGAGCAGCACAACAGAGGCTGGAGCCAATCATGGAGCAGCACAACAGAGGAAATCAGGTGTCAGGCTAGAAAAGGTGCAAGTGTGTGGTTCATTAGGCTGCAAGACATCATGGAGGAGCACACTGAAGCGCACGCTTACAAACCACTGGTAAGTGCTGACTACAAGTCATGACTTCAAATTGTTATATAGAATGATTACAAATTATTTGTTGTTTGTGCAGCTTAGTCAAGAGTCCCTAATTGATGAAGTCGACTCAGATTCTGACGATTTAACTGTCAAGAAGAAACCTGTAAAAAAGTATGGAAAAAGAAAAATCAAAAACACTTTTCTTCAAGACTCGGAAAGTGACGAACCAAAGGCAAATAAGATTGTTATCATGCAGCTGCAAAAGAAGAAAAATGGGGGGCGAGTTTACAGCAAGAGACACTTCTGCCTCTACTGTTCAATGTCCTGCCACAAAATGTCCCGTCATTTGACTAGAAAACATGGAAATGAAAGTGACGTAGCCAGAGCATTGGCTCTACCTGTGAAATCTAAAGCACGTAAACTTCAGTTTGATTTGATCAGGAATAGTGGAAACCGTGAGCACAATGTTGAGGTTTTAAAGGCCGGCATTGGAACTTTAGTCCCAGCTAAACAGCCAAATTCCCCAGTTAAATCCAGTGAGTTTTTGCACTGTATAGACTGTGGGGCATTGCTTAAGCGAAAGTCGCTGTGGAGGCATGTGGCCAGGTGCCGGCTTTCACAGAAAGATGCCCAGGCTAAACCAGGCTAAACCAGGCTAAACCAGGTAGAAGTAGGGTCCAGTCCCTCTGCTCCCTAGCCCAGCCTGTACCGGAGGGCATCAGCAAAAAGCTGTGGTCTTTAATTTCGGCAATGCATCAGGATGAGGTCACGGGTGTTGTCAAAGCAGAAAAGGGGATTCTGAGACTCGGAGAGCACCTGTACTTAAAACACGGGCATGATAAGACTAAGCATGATTACATTAGGCAGAAAATGAGAGAAGTCGGTAGGTTAATTAACGAAGCAAAAACCGCAGGGAAACTGAAAACAATTAAGGATTTCTTTATTCCTTCCAACTTTAACCATGTGATTGATGCAGTCAGGTCTGTGGCTGGATATGATGAGGAAACAAATCAATACAAGACTCCATCCTTGGCCCTCAAACTCGGCCATAGCCTCAGAAAGCTAGCAGATATTCTTGAATGTGACTCAAAAATGGAGCATTGTGTTGATGAACTATTTATTAAAAACCTCCAACGAAGCCGGCTGCTTTTTGAGAAGAGGTGGGACGTCTGTGTTTCTTCTGCTGCCCTACAGACCTCCGGCAAGCCAAGTGGAACACTCCGGACCTGCTCCCTCTGACTGAGGACGTTAGAGCCATGCATGCACATATTGAGGTATGTCGACCTGAATATGTGCAAACCCTAATAAGTGAGCCAACGTCTAAGCATTGGTCTAAACTGGCAGTTTTGACTCTTTGTGAGGTCATTATTTTCAATCGAAGAAGGGAAGGTGAGGTTTCAAAGATGCCACTGACAGCCTTTACCTTAAGAAGTAAGACTGGGATCCATTCTGACATTGCTCTGGGACTGTCCCAACTTGAGAAAAAGCTGTGTCAGCATTTTCAACGCATTGAAATTAAAGGGAAAAGAAGTGGGAAAGTGGTGGTTCTTTTGACTCCTGAAATGATTGCTTCAATGGAGGTGCTGGTGGAGAACAGAAGGGCCTGTTCCATCTCTGACCATAACCCATACTTCTTCTCCCGCCCGGGCGCAGACACCCACATCAGGGGATCAGACTCCCTACGCCAGGTAGCCAAAGAATGTGGTGCGGTGCATCCAGAGATGCTATCCTCAACCAAACTTAGAAAGCACATAGCTACTATGTCTACAGTTCTCAATATGAAAGAGAATGAGATGGACATACTTGCCAACTTCCTCGGCCATGACATTCGCATCCACAGGCAATATTACAGACTACCAGAGGGGACACTGGAGCTGGCCAAAATCAGCAAAGTGTTGATGGCCATGGAGCAGGGAAGAGTGACGGAATTCAAAGGAAGGTCTGCATCTGAGGTGAAGGCTGTGGAGAAGACCATGACACCTTTCATACAGACTGGAAAAGTCCCTGGGAAGTCTCACTGCCTGGCCTGGCCTGGCCTGGCCTGCATTAATGCCTCACCAGATGACCTTAGACATCGGACATGGAGTGGCATTAAATTCTATGTCAAAAATAGAATCACTGCAATTCGAAAAAAAAATCTAAAATAAAATTCCTTTAAAATAGTTGTTTGGTTTCTATTGACTGTTTTGTATTACTTAAAGTAGTCCCAGTAAAAAAAGATTATGTCTATGGGTCCCATTCTGAACGGCCCTGTCAAAGGGACCCACCAGGTAACAAAAACGTGTATGTGTGTGTCTGTGTGTGTGTATGTGTGTGTGTGTGTGTCTGTGTGTGAATGGACAGCGGTGACACAGGCGTGGTGCTTACCCTCCCCCACCATGGACACTCCGATGGACATCCCCATGAACTTGCTCTTGGTCCAGACGTGAGCGTTCACGCACATGTGGCGCTCTCTGCACTCGCAGTAAAAGCCCGACACCGGAGGATGGTGACAGACCTGCTCCGCCACGAAGCGCACCCTGTAGGGGGCGCCGTCCTCCGCGTTGTTGGGGGCGCGGCCCAGGCCCTGGGCGCTCGGCGGGTTGTGGCTCCGGGTCCGGACGCGGTCTCGAGGAACGTCCCAGGAGCAGTGGAAGGTCTCGCCGAGGATGGGGTTGTAGGGTTTCTTGGCCACGGCGCCCTTGCGGCCCTCGTGGAAGGCGCTGAGGTAGTATTCCACGAAGCGGACGATGCGCTCTTCGGCGGTCGCCCCCGCGGTGATGGACAGGAACATGTCGGGGTGAGCCATAAAGTTAGCGTACATCTCCAGCAGTGAGCGCTTCTCCAGGATGAACGTGGGCAACACCACCTGCGGCAAAAGAAACGGTTTTCTACCCCAGGCTGCGTTCATGTGACATCACAACTCCCCAAAGAGAGTTTAAAGGGGACAGTACTCTTTAAACTACACACTAACTGTTACAGTCGTTATAGTTACACACACACAAGTTATTTATATCCAGGCCTCAGACCGGCACCTGGTAACCACGGTAACCATGGGTCAAAAGTCAGATTTCTATTTTGTTTAGAGCAAGTTACTCAGTAAAAAGTGTGTTCATGAAATTCCACACCTCCCTCTCGTCAGTTACTGTTATAACAAGTCAGAGATGTTTGTACTATTTTTATACTCAGACCTGAGTCAGTTTGTATCAATAATGAAAAAGATGAGATTAGCATTTGGAACGAGAAGTGTTTCTGCCCAACAACGAGACGAGACTGAAGTATAACCCATGTGAGGTCCGTGTGAGGTCCATGTGAGGTCCGTGTGAGGTCCGTGTGAGGTCCGTGTGAGGTCCATGTGAGGTCCGTGTGAGGTCCGTGTGAGGTCCGTGTGAGGTCCGTGTGAGGTCCATGTGAGGTCCGTGTGAGGTCCATGTGAGGTCCATGTGAGGTCCGTGTGAGGTCCATGTGAGGTCCGTGTGAGGTCCGTGTGAGGTCCATGTGAGGTCCATGTGAGGTCCGTGTGAGGTCCATGTGAGGTCCATGTGAGGTCCATGTGAGGTCCGTGTGAGGTCCATGTGAGGTCAGTGTTACCCGTGTGAGGTCCATGTGAGGTCCGTGTGAGGTCCGTGTTACCCGTGTGAGGTCCGTGTTACCCGTGTGAGGTCCATGCCCAGTTTGAGCTGTGAGAGGAGGTGCAGGATGATGCTCCTCTGATCGTCCAGGACTCCCAGCTCCTCCTCCTCTGGGTCCTCCTCGTCTGTGACCTCCTCACCGGGCCTCGGCTCCTCACCGGGCCTCGGCTCCTCAGGCCCCTGCAGCCACACACACAGAACAGATGGAAACTTAAAGCTGGGGTACGTGAACTTCAATGTACAGCATTATTCATGAAAACAGTCCTAACAGTTTTCTGCCTGATAAAGATCTGTCCTCAGTCCTGGGTCTACAGCCTCAGTCCTGGGTCTACAGTCTCAGTCCTGGGTCTACAGTCTCAGTCCTGGGTCTACAGTCTCAGTCCTGGGTCTACAGCCTCAGCCCTGGGTCTACAGCCTCAGTCCTGGGTCCACAGCCTCAGCCCTGGGTCTACAGCCTCAGTCCTGGGTCTACAGCCTCAGTCCTGGGTCTACAGTCTCAGTCCTGGGTCTTCAGCCTCAGTCCTGGGTCTACAGCCTCAGTCCTGGGTCTACAGCCTCAGTCCTGGGTCTACAGCCTCAGTCCTGGGTCTACAGCCTCAGTCCTGGGTCTACAGCCTCAGTCCTGGGTCTACAGTCTCAGTCCTGGGTCTACAGCCTCAGTCCTGGGTCTACAGCCTCAGTCCTGGGTCTACAGCCTCAGTCCTGGGTCTACAGCCTCAGTCCTGGGTCTACAGCCTCAGCCCTGGGTCTACAGCCTCAGTCCTGGGTCTACAGCCTCAGTCCTGGGTCTACAGCCTCAGTCCTGGGTCTACAGCCTCAGTCCTGGGTCTACAGCCTCAGTCCTGGGTCTACAGCCTCAGCCCTGGGTCTATAGTGTCAGTCCTGGGTCTACAGCCTCAGCCCTGGGTCTACAGCCACAGTCCTGGGTCTACAGCCTCAGTCCTGGGTCTACAGCCTCAGTCCTGGGTCTACAGCCTCAGTCCTGGGTCTACAGCCTCAGTCCTGGGTCCACAGCCTCAGCCCTGGGTCTACAGCCTCAGTCCTGGGTCTACAGCCTCAGTCCTGGATCTACAGCCTCAGTCCTGGATCTACAGCCTCAGTCCTGGGTCTACAGCCTCAGTCCTGGGTCTACAGCCTCAGTCCTGGGTCTACAGCCTCAGTCCTGGGTCTACAGCCTCAGTCCTGGGTCTACAGCCTCAGTCCTGGGTCTACAACCTCAGTCCTGGGTCTACAGCCTCAGTCCTGGGTCTACAGCCTCAGGTCCTGGATCTACAGCCTCAGTCCTGGATCTACAGCCTCAGTCCTGGATCTACAGCCTCAGTCCTGGGTCTACAGCCTCAGCCCTGGGTCTACAGCCTCAGCCCTGGATCTACAGCCTCAGTCTTGGGTCCACAGCCTCAGCCCTGGGTCTACAGCCTCAGTCCTGGGTCTACAGCCTCAGCCCTGGGTCTACAGCCTCAGTCCTGGGTCTACAGCCTCAGTCCTGGGTCCACAGCCTCAGCCCTGGGTCTACAGGGCTGAGGGTCTACGTTGCTGCTTCCTGCTTCTGGACAGAGCAGTCGCATTCTCTTGCTGCTCCTCGCTTGCTGCTTTTTTATCTCCTTTAATCATTTTTGCTTACATTTTTATTCCACAAAACACGGATTACTCCTTTTTACAAACTTCAACACAAGACTTGTGGAATTTACCTAACTTACAGCATGTCGGGAGGACGGGAAAGAACAAAACTTTGCGACGGCTGTTTTTCACTCAAACAGGAGCTAAAACTTCTTCAAGACCGAATGTTTGTGCTTGAATCAGAATTGGGGCTGAACACAACAATACCAGTGAAAGGAAATGGACCACATGGACAGAACGTAAGTTATGATGACGCTATTTCATTTCCCAAAATCAACAGAGACAATTGTTGGAACACATATGGTGCCAAGCCCAAACAAGGCAAAGCTAATGATAACAAGAGTGTCATAATGCCACAGCAAAAATCTTTAATTACAAGAAACCGCTTTTCACCACTTTTGGAAGATGAATCAGCAGTAGTCTCTACAACAAAGCTGCTAAAAACTGCAGCGCCTCCACCAAGGACAAACTGTGTCCTTATCGGAGATGGCTCGGTGAAAAATGTAAACATGGAGTCCATGCTCACTGTCTCAGTTCACTCTGCTAAAGTTGCTGAGATAAGAACTCTCCTGCCTAAATTGTTATCTGAGAACAGTGGTGTGCGTACATTATTGATCCACACGGGGGCGGTAGATATCTATGAGAAGGCAAGCGAGAAGTTACGAATGGATTTAACGCTGTTACTGGATGACCTCAAGAAAATGGACATAACAATTTTTCTTAGTGGCCCACTGCCAAATATAGATGGAAAAATGGAGAAGTTTAGCCGTCTGTATCAGCTAAACACATTCCTACTCAATGAGTGTTCACGCAGAGGACTTGGCTTCATTGAAAACTTTAATCTGTTCTGGAATAGGCACGAGCTTTTTGAAGAAAAAGGCCCACATCTGAACAACTACGGAGTAAAAGTGCTGATGGATAACTTTGCATCTGCCCTAAGACCTCAGCCTGCGCAGCGCGTGCAGCCGTTGAAAGGGAGAAAGAAGAAGCAAAGGGCACAGACATCACGACCATCTCCACCGACTCCCGAGGTCTCTGCACCCCCACCGCCTCAAAAGAACTCCACACCTCCACGATTCAAGAAGAACTCAACACCTCCAAGGTTCCAAAAGAACTCAACACCTCCACGGCTTCGAAAGAGCTCAACGCCTCCACCCCCAGCATCATCAGCAGCTGCCACATCTTCATCAGCGCCATCAGCATATACAGCACCACCAGCAGCAGTGGATACAGCCGCAGCAGTGGCTGCTCCATCATCTTCAGCAGCAGCAGTGGATACAGCAGCAGCAGTGGCTGCTCCATCATCTTCAGCAGCAGCAGTGGATACAGCCGCAGCAGTGGCTGCTCCATCATCTTCAGCAGCAGCAGTGGCTGCTCCATCATCTTCACCAGCAGCAGTGGATACAGCAGCAGCAGTGGCTGCTCCATCATCTTCAGCAGCAGCAGTGGCTGCTCCGTCATCTTCAGCAGCACCTTCCCCACCTACAGCTCCCGTGAAGCTTCCCCCATTACTCCAGGCTACAGTCAGGCCTGTACTGGGGGTTCCTCAACCACCTCTGTCTCCACCAAAGACTCCCTCATCACCTTCCATGGACCCGGCTTGGGTCCCCCCCGCTACATCCACTCCATCTAGGGAAAATGAGGACGACCTTTCCCTTTGTTTTCTATCCCCGCCTTCACTACTGGATTTACCGGAACACTCTGCAGGCATGATAAGATCGGCGATGAAGACTATTCCTCTCACACCCACTGTAGCCAGATCAAGAGTCCTATCTAACATTCAAAACTACTCCCCATACGTACCTCCAAAGCCACCTAGGGCGTCCAACTCAAATTCTCCCACAAAATCCACCCGTCCCTCCTCTAACCCCATAAGTATTCCACCCCCCCCTCCTGCTCATTTAGCCCACCTCCCCCCTAACCCAGCACCAAGAAACCCTCCACCTCCACTCCCCCCTCGTCCACCACCCAACTCAGCCTGCCCCTCCCCTAACCCATCACCAAAAACCCATCCACCTTCAACCCCTCCCCGTCCAACTCCCAAGAACCACCCGCCTCTCCATCCTCCTCCCCCGCCTTCCCCTACCCCTCTTTTCTCTAAACACTAGGATGCACAGGGTCTCTGCTTCGCAGCCACTGGCAGTCTAGTTAGAGGAGAGACCCGGCTGGGGCCCTGTCATGAAGCCACCTGTGCCATTCCCTTAGTGATAACACAAAGAATACATTACAGAAAAACATCTGGAGTTAATCAGTCTAATCTGGAAAATCTAATTCTTGTTCCGTGTAAGAATCAGCCGACCGCAACCGCTGTTACTGAAACTTTGAAACTTGCTACGCTTAATGTCAGATCTCTTTGTAACAAGTCTTTTTTAATCAATAATTTTATTTCTTCTCATAATCTTGATCTTATGTTCATGGCTGAAACTTGGCTTGACCAAAATTCAGAAAATGCAGTTTTAATAGAAGCATCACCACCAAATTTCAAGTTTGAATCTGAAATACGGGAAAACAAAAAAGGAGGAGGCTTAGCTGCCATTTTTAGAGACCACTTTGTCTCCCATAGAATGTCTCTTGGGAAGTTTTCGTCATTTGAATATGTGTCTTTTAAAATACAACAAAAACAATCTCCTCCAATACTCTTCGTTGTCCTATACAAGCCACCGCAGTCATGTCACAGTTTTATTGATCATTTTACCGAGTTGCTTTCAGTTGTATGCACAGATTTTGATAGTTTGGTTATTACAGGTGATTTTAATATTCATGTGGATAATGTTGATGACAGAAATGCAAATGAGCTGAGTTCTGTACTTGAATCCTTTGATCTCACTCAGCACGTAAGTGGCCCCACCCACAGCAGAGGGCACACTCTAGATCTGTTAGTTACAAAGGGGGTGATTATTTCAAATGTAAACGTGGTCGATGTTGCTCTTTCGGATCATTTCTGTGTTTTTTTTGACATGTGTTTCACTAACAAACCACCAGTGGACTCTGCAACTGTTTGAAGAAGACACATAAATGAAAATACGAGTGAACTATTTATGGGAATGATAAACTTTGAGAATGCATCGTATTCTACTGTAGATGAACTGTTTAACTCTGTCACCTCTAGTGTTTTGAATGTTCTGGATACCGTTGCCCCTGTGAAGGTTAAAATAGTGAAAAATAAGCAGAAGGCGCCGTGGGCTAAAGCAGACTCGGTCAGGGCACAAAAGAGAGAGTGCCGGAGGGCCGAGCGGAAGTGGCGCAAGTCCAACCTCCAGGTAGATTACGAGATCTTCAAAGATAAGTTGTGCGAGTTTAACCGGGTGCTACGTAGTACGAGAGAAAGGTATTTTTCTGAAATGATTGAAGGCTGCAGCAACAATCTGCGTGTTCTGTTCTCAACAGTTAATAGATTAACAAACCCCCCTGTTCAAATGCCATTAGAGCTTACTTCCAAACGTAAATGCAATGAGTTTGCTAATTTTTTCAATGACAAGGTTCAAGGCATCAAAAGCGCCATTGTCTCCAATCCACAGATAACCATCCAACAGCCAGAAAGGCTCTCTGAGCTAACTCACTTT